ATTCGCAGATGATCATATTGATTTTTCGGCGGTTAGTGTCGTTACCTTTCTCGTCTTGTCTTCGTCCGTGTTTCTCGCCTGACTAGTTCCCTTGAGGCGGATTTTCCGCTCGCGAGTTCCTGTCATTTTTCGGGGGGCGATCTGAATCGCGGATGAGGTCCTTGACGCTGGATACATCGGAGAGTTCTCCAGTGAGCAATTTTGCGGCAAGTCTGGCGCCGAGAATTTTTCAGTTCACGGTAGAGTGTCCGGGAGTTTGATGGAGATCGGAAAAGGAATTTTCGTCGTAATTCGGATTCCTTGACCACGTGCTCCCTGTAGGTCGCCCTTGTTCTGATTCGGAATTGATTGCAAAGTTGTGCACCCCTTGGAGATCATGTCCCTCGTGATGGACGAATTTGTCGTTACGAGAGTTTTTCTTTTTCAGCTTCTGTTCGGACGTGATGTCCTTTGCGGACGCTTTCGCCGGCTTATCCTTTTCAGTTAGGATTTTAGTCTACTCTTTGATGGTTATGTAATCGGTAGCTTTGTGGAGCGCGTCCTGGATCGTCCGCGGTTTCTCGAGAGTTATCCACTTTCGAAACTTTGACTTGAACCAGAACGATTTTCTGAGCACGTCGACAGCGGCTTTGTCGCTTATCCTGCTAACCCTAGCCATGACGAGTTTGAACCTGCTCATGAAGTAGCGAAGGGATTCGTCTTCCTTCTGCGATAAGCTCCAAAGATCAGCGTCGGAAGTTTCCCGATTTATAAACATCGAGTACGGCTTCAGGAATTCGGAAGAAAGCTGGCAGAAACTCCCAATCAAATTCCACCTATGTTTGGCGAACCACTCGAGTGCTGCTCCTCTAGGTTTTCGACAAAAAGACGGCAGTAGCCCGCGTCTTTTTCGATATCTTTGAGCTTGGCTCGTCCCATGGTAATCTAGAAGGCCTGCAGGTGTGCTTTGGGATCAGCCGTCCCGTCATAAGCTGATACCTTGAGCTTTCCTGGATCGGGTAGTTTGACCTCAGTGATGCGAGCCGTAGAAGGCATCTTCCGAGATTCGTATAGATGCCGATCGATTTCGGGTGCGGCGCTGGTAGCATGGTGAATTTGAGTTTTCACCGCTTTTACCGCTGCAGCCGTTTTAGTGATGTAGCCGCGGAGATTGCGAATCTCATTTAGATCGCCAGCAATTTTCCGACCTTGTCGGCGTTTGTTGCGAGAAACTGGAGTTCGTTCCCCGGCTGTTTCTGCGCGTTGTGCACAGTAGAACTCCTCCTCGTCTTCAGTAAAAGAGCGCTCGGGAGAAGACTCCGGCTGAGGGCTGCGAGTTTTCCTTCTCCTAGGATGGACGTCCACGTCCTCATCCGACAAATCGGATTGGTCGCTTGTTTCCAGGTTAACCCTTTCGATGCCATCTTCCTCAGTCTCATGTCTGCGAGTTGGAGATTTTTCCGATTCGTTTAGCGTCGCGTCAGGGTTATCTTTCTCGGAGTTTTGCTCCGGCACATTTTCCTGCTCGGTTCTAGGGCGATCCATAGGAGTCCCAAAATTGAGCCTTCTTCCGCGGATCCTAGTAGTTCCGCGGGGGCGAATTGCCCTGGTTCTCGCAGTTAAGGTTTCAACCTGTTTTGCGAATGAACCAATGAGATTTTCTTGTGCATCTTCTCGACGGCCTTGGTGTTAGCATTAGTGTTAGCGTTAACCGCGGACACATCGAGAGTTGTTGTCAACGTTTTCGCTTTCGTCGCGAGTTTGTTGGTCGCCGGACATCATTTCTTGATTGAGCGTGCTGCGGCTTGAGTGTAAGATAGATCCGACCCCCCCCCCCCCCCCCCTCCTCCTTTTAGCGCCAAACTGTGGGAACCGAAATTTAGAGCATTCGGCTATCTGCGGAACCGCACACAAGCAATCAAGAACACGACGAGATTAAGTAAAAAGACAATAAAAGAAAACGAGATTGAGAGCAAGAAGGATCTTATTCCGAATTCGCGTAAGAACGGTACAACAAGAGTAGCCTTAGCTGGGAGAGCCGTCGGCGAGATTCCTAGTTCTAGTAACCTAAGATTAAAACCCTAGTTGAGACGCAGCTCGATAACAGAAATGGAAATATTCCTAAATGCTAAGTTTGGTGGTGAAATCAAGTTGTATAAGTAATCAAGTACACAATCACTAATATTATAATCAACACACTAAGCTGTATGTATTGCACCCAAAAAAAACTGTATGTAATCAAATGTAGATGATAACTTAAGTAAAAAGATATGATAAGGTAGTATAAATTATAAGTAATTTATTCAAAAACATATATAATTACAAGTAATCAAGTAGACATGTATCACTAATATTATGATCGACACAACAAAGTGTATGTATTGCACCAAAAAACTGTATGTAACCAAATATATAAGATAGCTAAAGTGAAAATATATGACATCAGCAATCTTGTGGTCGAGTGGTAAAAAAAAAGTTTTTGTATACCAACACGTTTCAGATTTAAACTATCTGATGTATGAAATGAAATCACATTGTTCTGGACATCTATATGAATATAAGTCTTTTCTTTCGGTTCATTTGAATACCACAAAAAGAAAATCAATCATTGGGATGTACTTCTCCTTTGAGAGTAATCTTTTCATAAGCTCTGTATATTCTTAGATTAATAAAAAAGAAGTAAAAATATATGATTAGATTAATAAAAAATATAAATAAAAAGATATGATAGCGTAAAATTATCTGTTACTGGATTTTTAGAAATCAAATTTAAAAAGATCATTTGTTATTTGATTAGTGATTTTAAAACTTCTAAATAAAGATTGGTTTAGTGAAATTGTAAAACAAATATATTTAAACAGGATTTTGACTTTCTGCCCTGGGTTTAATTCGTCATGCCCACCTAACCGTACTATATTAATAGATTAGTTGCATATTTGGATGTAAAGTCTCGTAGAATTAGTTTTTATATATAGAAAACTTTTGAGATTCCCACCGTAATCAAAAAGGAAAAATCGTATAAATAACTTTTAAAATGATACTTATTATCATTTTCAAATTTGAAATTTTTTCACTATCACTTTAAACCTTCAAAGTAATATTTGTGTCACAAAAAACCTTGAACTTGAAAATCTAATATGTTGAACAGATAAAACAAATAATTTATCAAGTTTTTTTTGTGAAAAATAAATATTAAATAAATAAAAGTTTAATAAATAATAATAAAAAATCAACTAAATTTTCAAAACAAAATTAAAGAAATTTTAGAACATAAAGCAAAATTTATTAAAAAATAGAAATACCAAAAATTAAATAAATTTCGGATTTTTTAAATAAAAATTAAAGAAAATTCACAAAATTGAAAAAAAAATCAAATATATATATATATAGATTATAGTATGGGATAGATTATATATATATATATATATATATTTTTTTTTTTTTTAGTTATGCAAGTTGGCCTGTAGATAATTTGTCTTTGCTGGATTGCGCTATAAATTTAGTGAAATCTACAGCCAATCAGTTATCTTAACAAAGACATGAATCACACAATATTTTTTGTTGTTGTGATCATATCTATAGAAATCATGGTTGACTCTTCTTTACGTCTTTACGTAAACCAAAATTTTCGAATCTAAATATTTATAGATTATAGTATGGGATCTCAGCGAACTGCCTTATACTTTACGGCTACTCTACGTAGAAATATTAAGTCTTTGACCATTAGGATAGCTTTTACAACTTTTTATAAATAAAACCAGAGATTTTTTTTCCGCGCGTACTTCTTTACGTCTTTACGTAAACCAAAATTGATCGAATCAAAATATTTTTAGATTATAGTATGGGATCACAGCGAACAGCCTTATACTTTACGGGTACTCTACGTAGAAATATTAAGTCTTTGACCATTAGGATAGCTTTTACAACTTTTAATAAATAATAATAATAACTAGAGATTTGTTCCACGTTACGCGCAGATTAGATACTTAAAAATTATTATAAATTATATACTATGATTTCTATTTTTTAAATTGTATATTAAATTTTATATTTAAATATGATATATAACGACATCAACCATTAAAAACTATCCTACTTAGATTTTCATATATTTTTATATTAATTCTATATTAATATAAAATCTAAATTTGATTATATACATTATATAATATGTATATATATATTAAAAGTAATATCAAAGTTTAAGTGAAGTCAATATTATTTATAAGTGATATTATATTGCTTTAATGTGTTAAATAATGTAGCGTGTTTTATATCTATCATAAAATGAAATTTCAAAGGTATCGTAAATTAGTTTGTGAAATGAATTACTTTAATTCTTGTAAATATATCATTAAAATTTATGAAAATTATTTTTAATGGCTAAATAAGTAACTGTAGATAATTTTGAGCCCACAAAATGTAATTCAACAAAAAACTAGATTTTAACTAAATGGAAAAATTGAAAATCTCTTTTGCACTAAACCTAATTTCTAAACTGTAAGCTCTAAACCAAACCAAACTAATATGGGCTGATTTTGGTTAAAGTTTTTTTAGACCAAGATAACTCAACCCAACTGATCCGTAATAAATCTATAATGTCCATCTCTAAAAATACCTAATACTAAATTAAGATGATCATTAAAAAAATATTAAAAACTACCTAACACCTAATATTAAAAATAAACATTATAAACTTCTAATTTATATAACTTATCCAAAGTAATCGTTGAGACATTATAAACTACCTAATACTAAATTAAGATGATCATTTATCATAATGGAACTATATAGCTTCTCTACAGAAAAATACCTAATACTAAATTAAGATGATCATTTATCATAATGGAACTTTGGTTAGTTTATAGGTTCAGCTTTTATATAGTGTGACGATTATTTTTGTTTAATGATTAATGTGAAGTCGTATTGCTCCGATATATTAAAAATAAACATTATAAACTTGTAATTTATATAACTTCTCTACAGTATTCGTTGAGACACTATAAACTGTAAATGTAAGTCTATTCATCCCATTTGTCTTTAGGGATCTCTCCAGAATCAGCAATCACAACTTTCTTCCTTGGTTTGTCACTGTAAGTACCAGCTCCACCTTCAATGGCGAACACATAGTCCATCCCTTGTATAACCTTCCCAAACACAACATGGTGCCCTTCCACCCTATCCACCCACATTTAAAATGCCAAATCATGAATGAAACTACGTATTATTATAGAGCAGAACCGTTGGTTCAAATGGGTGTGTTTGTCTTAAACTCAAAGCTCTTGATCCCAATACAATTTGGTTCTATGTAAGAGCATGAGGGTTTATAAATGAGAGGAGAGAGTACCAGCTAGCCTTGACAGTATGATAAAGAACTGTGAACCATTAGAATCAGGTCTTGTATTAGCCATCGCTACAACACCTACATAACGCACGGATTTAGTTTAGCTACAAGAAGAATACATGAAACTCACTTTCCTAAGTTGGTATAAAGAGTAAAAGTAGGCACCTGCATGNTATGATAAAGAACTGTGAACCATTAGAATCAGGTCTTGTATTAGCCATCGCTACAACACCTACATAACGCACGGATTTAGTTTAGCTACAAGAAGAATACATGAAACTCACTTTCCTAAGTTGGTATAAAGAGTAAAAGTAGGCACCTGCATGTGAATGCTTTACTTTGAAATTTTCGTCGGGAAAGGTGCCACCATAGATTGACTTACTCCCTTTCCCATCACCATGGATTAAGTCTCTCAGAACATACTAAGATTAAGCAAAGGTTCTATGGAAGACAGAGTTTATGTACCTCCATCTTCTCCATAAGCTCTTTGGCTGCTGGAGCAGAAACCACAATGTTACGTGCACCAGGTTTAATAAAACCTTCTTCAAAGCCAGTGTCAAACAAAAGCAAGCAAACTGTTATAGTACCCATCAACATTAAATAGACCATCCTGCAAGAAAAACAAATCCCAAACAAAATCAATATAGGAACTAAAAGTCCTCTGCATCATTTTTTGACATAGCAAAAGAAATCTGTTAGAATATACCGTTTTCTTGTGGATACCAAGTTGTGACCATGTTATCATCTCCAGCACCTCCTCCATTGTTCCATAACCTCCTGAAACAAAACAAAAAAACCGCGGTTTTAGATAAGAAACTAAAACGTGCAGTATGCTTTGGCTCTGTACTCAAGACTTTTTTCTCACCAGTGAGGGCAATGAAGGCCTCAGCTGCTTGTGCCATTGCATCTTTGTGTTTGTGCATGTCTGCAACCACTCTTACATTTCCAACAGTCTCACCAGATATCTGGTGAAACCCAAGTCATAAGATATGGTAAAGGCAAACCATTGAATCATCAAATCTAACTATAAACTATTATACATCATTGAAACACATTCATCGTTAGATAATCTTCCAAAACTCAGTCCAAGTTTGCTACTTCCTGGAACTACTTGAGATTGTATAAGAAGATACATACCTCAATTGGCATCAAAGCCTTGGGAATGATCCTGCAAGTATATAGAATCCAATCAGAAACCCTTAGATAAGTTTGAAAATGAAAGGAGAATGTAAGAGAATACTCTTAAAAAACACTAACCCGAGCACATGGAAGCCACCTTCATAAACTCTCTTGGAAATAAGACCCATCAAACCAAAACTTCCTCCTCCATAAACCAAGTCGATCTTCCTCTTCCCTTGGATCTTCGTCATTTTTCTCCTCCGTTGGATGATTTGTACAACACACTTTGCTTACTCTAATCTCTCAGAATAGAAAGCATTAACGGATGCTAAGATAAACGGAATCAAGTTTTCTTGCCTGTGAGGTTCCTCTTCTTTCACCTTGGTAATCTGAGCCTTTAGTTCCATTACCAGCCAGAGTCTCTACTCTCTCGTTGACAAAATCAATTTCCCTAAGAAGAACTTCAAATTAAGATAAAAAAACATGTAATCATGATCTTACTCATGTTTAGTGATTCGAATGAACACGGGTGAAAGAAGTTCTGCAGATTCTAGGGTCAGTTGTGTTCTTGAGAATTTCAATAACCTCAGAGTTCTACGACGTTCATCTCCTTCTCTCTCGCCTTATAAATGAAATGAAGAGAAACTCGTCTTATAGAGCTGCAAACTCACAGCTATGCATCCCTATGATGGTGAAAAAGAGAATATCAGAAACAGAGTTTCTTTTTTTTTGTTTAGGGTTTAAATATTTGATTTGTAAAAGTATCTGTACCTTGACTGAGGACTGAGGGAAGGGGGGGGGAGAGCCATGTCAAATAGTGTTAGAAACCTGCAAATTAATGGAAAAACAATGTAAGAACAATGAAGAACAATGTTCTTAAATGGGGAATAATTGAGTGTCTCCGAATCGATTTTGATAGATTAGGGTATTTTGTTCATTGCCGAAAGGGGGAAAGGGGAAATCGTGGGCTTCAGAGAAACATATCAAGTCTAACTGACGAATAATCAAAGAAAATTCGATAAAAACAAATCGAAACCCATCGAAGCCCAAATAAGGGTTGCTGACGTCGCCAAAACTTGAACTCCTATTGGTCTATTAAATTTAATGACATGGCAGCATGGCATGGAAGAGTATTCTCATTTTAGTATTGTATAGATTTTTATAGAAAACGAATTATATGAGCATCAAATCTATATGGCCTATATATCCCGCGGCATAGCCTGCAAAAAATCCCTGCCCATTTTTTCGAACTTTTGTCGCGGGCGTCACTCTCCCGCGGTAGATGGCCGCGATACGGATGAATTGATCGCGGGCATGCCTAGGCCGCGGTACTTGCCCGTTTCTGCACCATTTCTTGCTCATTTCATCGTTTTGGAACCCATTTAGCCTCTAAACTTGATTAGCACTTCTCCATACCTGCCAACACACAAATAAAAAATGCAATGCAACCTAAACAGACTCTAAATGCACCTAAACGATCAATGGAAACATGAAATGGATGATTAAAAGTATGTAAATATGCAAGATATCATAAATAAGACCTCAGGGTCCAAAACANTTCATCGTTTTGGAACCCATTTAGCCTCTAAACTTGATTAGCACTTCTCCATACCTGCCAACACACAAATAAAAAATGCAATGCAACCTAAACAGACTCTAAATGCACCTAAACGATCAATGGAAACATGAAATGGATGATTAAAAGTATGTAAATATGCAAGATATCATAAATAAGACCTCAGGGTCCAAAACACCTCTGGGTTATATCGACACCTCCGGGTTATAAAGGCCTCCGGGTCCAATAGATACCTCCGGGTCATATAGAAACCTCCGGGTTAAATAAGACCTCAGTGTCCAAAACACCTCCGGGTTATATCGACACCTCCGGGTTATAAAGGCGTCCGGGTTCTATAGACACCTCCGGGTTATATAAAAACCTTCGGGTTAAAATAAGACCTCAGGGTCCAAAACACCTCCGGGTTATATCGACACCTTTGGGTTATAAAGGCCTCTGGGTCCTATAGACACCTCCGGGTTAAAATAAGACCTCAGGGTCCAAAACACCTCCAGGTTATATCGACACCTCCGGGTTATAAAGGCCTCTGGGTCCTATAGACACCTCCGTGTTATATAGAAACCTCCGAGTTCAAAACAACCTCAGGGTCTAAAAAGAAACCTCCAGGTTTAAAAACAACCTCCGGGTTCAAGATCACCTCGGGTCTAAAAGCAACCTTCGGGTTCAAATAACAAACTTCAGGGTTTAAATAAAGACCTCAGGGTCCCAAATGTTAAAAACTCCGAGTTTTGAATTTTTATTAAAAACTACCTAACACCTAATATTAAAAATAAACATTATAAACTTGTAATTCATATAACTTCTCCACAGTATTCGTTGAGACATTATAAACTACCTAATACTAAATTAAGATGATCATTTATCATAATGGAACTATATAGCTTCTCTACAGAAAAATACCTAATACTAAATTAAGATGATCATTTATCATAATGGAACTTTGGTTAGTTTATAGGTTCAGCTTTTATATAGTGTGACGATTATTTTTGTTTAATGATTAATGTGGAGTCGTATTGCTCCGATATATTAAAAATAAACATTATAAACTTGTAATTTATATAACTTCTCTACAGTATTCGTTGAGACACTATAAACTGTAAATGTAAGTCTATTCATCCCATTTGTCTTTAGGGATCTCTCCATAATCAGCAATCACAACTTTCTTCCTTGGTTTGTCACTGTAAGTACCAGCTCCACCTTCAATAGCGAACACATAGTCCATCCCTTGTATAACCTTCCCAAACACAACATGGTGCCCTTCCACCCTATCCACCCACATTTAAAATGCCAAATCATGAATGAAACTACGTATTATTATAGAGCAGAACCGTTGGTTCAAATGGGTGTGTTTGTCTTAAACTCAAAGCTCTTGATCCCAATACAATTTGGTTCTATGTAAGAGCTTGAGGGTTTATAAATGAGAGGAGAGAGTA